TATATATATATATATATATATATATATATATATATATATATATATATATATATATATATATATATAAGTTGGGTTGAATATTATTCCTTCGTTTCGTTGCCTTGCATTGTTGTGTCTGTTTGTTTGTTTGTTTGTTCGCTTTGTGTATTGTTACATGGTTGGTTTTATTAATTTGTTTTTGTTTTTCTCTTTACTTTTTGCGTTGGCTATGCAGGGTGTCCGCATGCTCGCTGAGCAAGGCGATATGAAGCTCGCCGACTTGGCTCTGCCAGCAGAGGCTTTCCTTGAGAGCACCAAGCTCCGGTGAGTGGTTATTGGTGGGGTTGTTATGGTGGGGGAGGTTCTTATTGGTTGGGTGGCTGTTAGTGGTTGTTGTTGGGGTCGTTCGTGTCTGTGTGTTTCTTCTTCCCCTTCTAATCAGCTCCTATCGTTGTTTATAGAAGTGGGGTTGTTGTTGTATACTGTGTATCTATCTGTTGTTTGTTGTGTGTATTTCTTGTGCATGTACACCTTGACGCAACAGAAAGGCATTTGAACTGCTGAAGGAGGTTCAGAGTCGGGGTGAGAAGGTGTTGGTGTTTAGTCAGTTTACCTCTTTCCTTGACGTTGTTGAGGAAGCGCTACAGCTGCATCTTCCTTCTCTTCGTTTCTGTCGCCTCGATGGCTCTACAGTTGTAGAGGAGAGGCAACGACTAGTAGATGGCTTCAATCAAACAGGAGAATGCACAGCTTTCCTCCTCTCCACAAAGGCAGGAGGACAGGGACTTAACCTCACTGCAGCGCGCACCGTAATACTCCTAGACCAGGTGAGACACGCATGAACTGCTTCTGCTGCTGCTGCTGCTGCTGCTGCTGCAGATCCAGGTGATGCTGCAGCAGCAGATGCACTTGCTGCTGTCTCCGTATCTGCTGCTTCAGCTTATGCGGATGGCAGCAGCAGTGGGGGTGCATGACTCCTCCCGCTGGAGGAGGGGTGCTCTTGCTGCGGCGAGTGTGTTCTGGTTAGTATTTTTTGGCGGTGGGGTTGTTGTTATTGTTTTGTTTGTTGTGTTTGTTATGGTGAGATTGTTATTGGGTTGTTTGTTGTTATTGTTTTGTTTGTTGTGTGTTTCTTGTGGTGGTGTTTCTCAGGATTGGAATCCTCAGAATGACCGCCAGGCAGAGGATCGGGTTCACCGCCTGGGGCAGACCCACGAGGTTACTGTCTATCGTCTTTGCTGCAGAGGCACAGTCGAGGAGTCTATACTCAAAGTCTGTTGCTGCTGCTCCTGTTCCTGTTGCTGCTGCTGCTGCTGCTATTGCTTGTGCTTGCTGTTGTTGCTGTTACTCTTGTTCCGTTGTTCTTGCTCTTTTTTCTTGTTTTTCGTTTTCGTCTTGTGGTGTATACACATCCACTTGCGTATCTCGTCTGGCTCTTCTTTGCTGCTGCCTCTGCCTGAAATATTCAAGTTCTGCCAACGCTGCTACGGCAGTAGCAGCCGCAACGCGAACGTTGCTGCCGCTGCTACTGCCTTCTGTCTGTCTGTTGGGGTTTAGGGCTAAGGGTCGTTGTTGCTCGCTTTCTGTTCTTTTTCTGTTTAGTGCTGTCAGAGGAAGCTGGATCTAGACAGCGCCTTTGGGGGAAATTCCGAGGTTCTTCAGGCCGCAATTTTGCGCGTACGTCTTCGAACGGGTTTTATCTAGCTCTTCTTTTCTTCTTTCTTTAATCCCTATAATATCTTCATTAGTTTCTTTTTTTTTTCGTTGATCGCGATGCTTTCTTGTTATGTATCTTTTCTTTTTCGCTTGGCCGCTATGTTCTCTTTATTAGTTTCTTCTTTTCTCCGTTGTTCTAATCACTCTGTCCGTTCGCTTCAGTTTCTTCTGTCTTCTCTCCCTCAGCATTCGCCTTAGCAGGGGTTGTGCTGTTGGGGTTTCCATATGTGTTTTTTGTTTTGTTTATTTTCATTCATTTACTGTTTTCTACTTGAATTTGTTTGCTGCTTCATCAGGATTCCTTAGAAAGCGGCGGAATAGATGGCGAGGAGCCGCTGCTGCGCTTGAGTCCTCCGCCCCCCAAGACCTCCTGCAAGGAGCCCTCATCCTGATTGCAACGTCTTTAGCTGCACTGTGTTTCAATTTTTTGCTAGCATGGTCTCTGCAGCTTTGTTTTATTCGTGCATGCCGTCCGACGTCGATATTTCCTTTTCCATAGTCCAAGGGGCCACGTGGGGGCCCTTTGGCGACCGAAGGGGCCCTCTGGGGGTGTCCCAGGGGGCCCCTCTGGAGGCCCATCTGGGGGCCCCCCGCCGGGGTGCAGTGAACCGCCGTTTATGCAAAGAGGAATCGAATAAATTGTGCGCCTTTGTGTGTTGTTATGAATCTTACACATTGCTACCATTAGTACCTAAGCAATGTGTATTATATATATATATATATATATATATATATATATATATATATATACAATGTGTGTATGGGCATTTTACATACTGTATATCTTGTAACGCATATATATAATATATCATATAAATATTATTTAATCATGGCTTATATGCATATTATATATATATGCGGCGACTCCGATGTGGCGCTTCCAGGCCCCGTTGCTGCTTTCTTTGAAGAGATTTGTTGCATGGGCGTTGATGTCCGTTTCCTCTATTGTTTTTTACTCCGCAAGAACGAAATAATACTGTTTAAACAA